GGTTTAGGGTTTACGGTTTAGGGTTTAGGGTTTAGGGTTTAGGGTTTAGGGCTTATCATAAGGAACCAAGGGGGGGTAACAGGGAGGAGGGTGTAAGGGGCCCATATTCCCAAAACTAAGGGCTTAATCATCCCAAAGAAGCCTTAACAAGTCCTAAGAAGGGAATCTGGCCCCCTTACAACCCCCCCTCCCTTCCACTCCCGTGGTTCTTTATGAGTTTAGGGTGTAGGGTTCAGGGTTTAGGGTTTAGGGTCGAACTGCACAAGCCCCACAAACAGCTATTTTGTTTTGTTCACATGACCGAAGGAGCTTCTGCATGAATACCGCGTGTGCTTTTCCTACGGCTGTGTGTCATGCAGGCCTACTTAACCAGAACGGGGATCTGGGGATACAGATATGTTTTTTTGAGATACGCATGTCCGTACTTATGTGCATAGACATAGATACATACTTTTTGGCAGCACATATATATATATATATACTCACCAGGAACCCCCCCCCCCCCCCCCGGGCACCAAATAAATCCTATGAACCCGAGCCTGGGTCTGCGAGCCCGGAGTACTACTTTAGAGTTGGAGAATAAAGGTTTCGAGCAAAACAAGAGGCTGGGTTCAAGATATTGTTCAGGATTTCAGGGGTGTCTAGGGTGAGGGCTTAGGGTGGGTTCGGGTTCAGGGCTTAGGGTTGAGGGTTTGGGGTTTAGGCTTTAGGGCTTAGGGTTTAGGGTTCAGGGTTCAGGGTTCAGGGTTCAGGGTTCAGGGTTCAGGGTTCAGGGTTCAGGGTTTAGGGTTTAGGGTTTAGGGTTGAGGTTGAGGGTTGAGGGTTGAGGGTTGAGGGTTGAGGGTTGAGGGTTGAGGGTTGAGGGTTTAGGGTTTAGGGTTTAGGGTTTAGGGTTTAGGGTTTAGGGTTTAGGGTTTAGGGTTTAGGGTTTAGGGTTTAGGGTTTAGGGTTTAGGAGGAGGAGGAGGAGGAAAGGCTAGCAGCAGTAGCTGCAGCCGTCCGGTTGGTCTTGCTTGAGTGGGCCGGGAGCCTCCCGATCGTCCTCCTTCTGCCTCGTTCTGTTTCGGCTCGTGGCCTCCCCCCCCGGTTTCCTCTACTCTGGCGCAGCACCGGCGCTCGAGGAGTCTGTGCTGCCAGCAGCGACAGCGGCCGCACGGGCGCGGCCCTCGAGCGTTTGCTCACGGAATCTGGCGGGCAGTAGTAGCCATTGCACCGAGGGTGCGTCATGAGCTTGGATGAGCAAAAAATCGTCTAGGGTTTAGGGTTTAGGGTTTAGGGTTTAAGGTTTAGGGTTTAGGGTTTAGGGTTTAGGGTTTAGGGTTTAGGGTTTAGGGTTTAGGGTTTAGGGTTTAGCGTTTAGGGCATAGGGTTTAGGGCTTGGAGTTCAAGGTTCAAGCCCTTCACAACCGCGCCGAGCAGCGAAGGAAGCACGTGTCCATGCCAGCTCCTCCCTGAAACCTTCGCCACAATGTGCCACACTTTTTTAGAGTTTAGGGTTTAGGGTTTAGGGTTTAGGGTTTAGGGTTTAGGGTTTAGGGTTTAGGGTTTAGGGTTTAGGGTAGTTTTGGCAGTGCATTGGGGGGTACTATCATCCCTACTAAGGACTGTTAGTATAAGGCGGAACATCCCAAGTTACATGGTCCCTTGGTGCACATCTTCGGCTTTGGGGGCTTTCTTACGGTTTAGGGTTTCGGGTTTTGGAAATGGGGTTTAGGGTTGAGGGTTTAGGGTAGCTGCGTGGTCCGTTAGTATGGGTCCTTAAAAGAGGACCCTTTATATGCCCTATACAGCCAAAGGCCCCTACCCTTAGAACTGCGATGGATTGGTCCAGTCATTTGTGTACCGAGGATGTTTCTGCCTCTTTGGGACTGAAACTTTAGGGCTTGCGCATAAGTCGGTTCGTATACTGGTGGTAAGCACAAGCTCCCCCAAGCATGGGGACTGCTTTCCCGGTGCAGTCTCCGCATCAGAATCAAGTCGTGCTTTGGGTTTACCAAAAAACCTGCAATCTACCTATAAGCATAATGGCGATGCCAACCCTGTACTTAGGGGCTGAATTCCCTGGCCCAGAGAAGGTTCACCTTTTATATGTAGTAGGATTCTATATCACCAAAAGGTTAACGGTTTCCGACCCAATCCCACAAAGTGCGGGCACTTTGAGGGCCCAGATGGGTTGGTGGCACTTGAGCGGAGATCCCCACCTAGGGTAACCTCAGGTAAAAAAACTTTTTCCCCACCAAAACCAACCATTGCACTCCACCAAACCAACCGGGGAGCCCACCAACCAGAAAGACCCCACCAAAACCGCCCGCGGGCCCCACCAAAACCAGACGTGGACCCACCAAAACCCCCATTCGACCCCACCAAGCCGAACGTCGTCCCCACCAAAACAGCCGTGCGTCCCACCAAAAGCCCTACCATACCCACCAAAAACCCCACCCTACCCCAGCGTGACGTTCCCTACCCTACCCCAGCCTACTCGTGGGACAAGGGCCAGAGGCCCAGGGGTTGAGGCATCGCGGGGTTGCGGGTGTACGGGCGCAGGTCCCCCACCGTACCCTAGCGTGACGTTCCCTACCCTACCCCAGCCTGCTCGTGGGACAAGGGCTAGAGGCTCAGGGGTTGAGGCATGGAGGGGTTGGGCGCTCCCCCACCCTACCCTAGCGTCACGTTCCCTACCCTACCCCAGCCTACTCGTGGGACAAGGGCCAGAGGCTCCGGGGTTGAAGCATGGAGGGGTTGAGGGTGTCTGGGCGCGGGTCTTTCCCAGGAGTCAGGACTGGGGTTGCCGAACCCGAATCCCAGCAGGTCCCCACACCCTACCCTAGCGTGACGTTCCCTACCCTACCCTAAACCCTAAACCGTAAACCCTAAAACCTAAGTTTTCGGGTTTAGGGTTTAGGTTTTAGGGTTTAGGGTAGGGTAGGGAACGTCACGCTAGGGTAGGGTGTGGGGACCTGCTGGGATTCGGGTTCGGCAACCCTGCAGGTCCCCACACCCTATCCTAGCGTGACGTTCCCTACCCTACCCTAAACCCTAAACCGTAAACCCTAAAACCTAAACCCTAAACCCGAAAACTTAGGTTTTAGGGTTTAGGGTTTAGGGTAGGGTAGGGAACGTCACGCTAGGGTAGGGTGTGGGGACCTGCTGGGATTCGGGTTCGGCAACCCCAGTCCTGACTCCTGGGAAAGACCCGCGCCCAGACACCCTCAACCCCTCCATGCTTCAACCCCGGAGCCTCTGGCCCTTGTCCCACGAGTAGGCTGGGGTAGGGTAGGGAACGTCACGCTAGGGTAGGGTGGGGGAGCGCCCAACCCCTCCATGCCTCAACCCCTGAGCCTCTAGCCCTTGTCCCACGAGTAGGCTGGGGTAGGGTAGGGAACGGGGACCTGCGCCCGTACACCCTCAACCCCGCGATGCCTCAACCCCTGAGCCTCTGGCCCTTGTCCCACGAGTAGGCTGGGGTAGGGTAGGGAACGTCATGCTGGGGTAGGGTGGGGTTTTTGGTGGGTATGGTAGGGCTGTTGGTGGGAGGTTTGGCTGTTTTGGTGGGCTGTTTGGTTGGTTTTTGGTGGGCCGAAACGGTTTTGGTGGGACTCATGGCGGGTTTGGTGGGCCCAAACGGGTTGGTGGGCTCTAAGGTCGGTTTCGGGTAACCCCACACCCTAAACCCCAAACCCTAAACCCCAAACCCTAAACCACAAACCCTAAACCACAAACCCTAAACCCCAAACCCTAAACCCCATATGCCCTTAAGAAAACACGGCACCGAAACACCCACACCTTGAGTCCAACGAGCCCTACACCCTAAGCCCTAAGCCCTAAGCCCTAAACCCTAAACCCTAAACCCTAAACCCCCAAAATCTGGTCCCCAGGAGCGTGCAGAAGGCATCGTAGAGACCGTGGCCAAACCTGCTGAACGCGGGAGGCGAGGGCTTGGTGGGTTTTAGGGTTTCGAGTTTAGGGTTTAGGGTTTAGGGTTTAGGGTTTAGGGTTTAGGGTTTAGGGTTTAGGGTTTAGCGTTTAGGGCTTGGGGTTGAGGTTTGGGGTTTGGGAAATAAGGGTTGAGGCTTTGGGGTTTAGGGTTGAGGGTTTCGGGGTATAGGGCTTCGGCCAAAACCCTGCTGAAGGTGTTTTTTTTTCCCGTGGTGGGGGGGCAGTTCCCGTGCTTTCGGAACCTAGAACGAGGAACTACGACTACCATAAACCTTCAGCTCCCCTTTTTGTCGGGGCCTCAGGTCCGAGGCCTAGGCACGTGTTGCCGAGAAAAATCATGGTACCTCTTTGGGTGCCCCCAATAGAAGGGCCACATTGCAGCAAAGGACGGAACAAAAAAAAAAACAAAATCCAAAACCCTAAGCCCTAAACCCTAAACTCGCCCTGGACTGCACCCCCCAAAGGCTACTCTAAAGACGCCTCACCCAAGCCGCTGCCTGAGTCACGGCCAGGTTTCCCTTTAAACCCTCTAAACCCTAAACTCGAAACCCTAAACCCTAAGCCGCAAAGAAAGGCCCTTCCACTAGCACCTAGAGGCACGGGAATCCTGGGTTCACTTGCGCCTTAGGCAGTCATGAAGCCACAGGCTCTCCGCCTCTACTTTGGGCCGGGGTGTGAAGGACTTAGGATCTGAGGTGTAGAGCTTCATTCATTCTTCCTGCACCAACTCCCTCCACCCCTGAGACCCCGAAGCCCCCGGGCCTCAAAACCCATAACCCTAGAACACTCAAAGCTTCAACTTCCCGAAGCACACACACACACAGACACACACATACGCGTGCACACTCATATGCAGCCGAAGAAACACCATGGCCATGAGGCCCACGTACCTCAGAAACGACTGCACATTCATTTTTGTTTTGTTTGCTATTCTTATGGTTACTGTTCTGCTGTAACTAGGGTTACTACAGGATTGCTCTTCTTCGCTATCATGATATATGCCTACCTTTTTGTCGCACTTTCCAAATGGAACGTCGCTCAGAGGTTCTCCAAGGATTCTGGTACTTAAGCCATGGGCCTCACGAGCATGGGACTCAGGAACACCCTTCTTTTAAGGCCGAGGACTTGCGGCTTCTAGGACCGGCTTTGGGGTGGGGGAGGGGTTCGGGTTTACGGTTTACGGTTTACGGTTTACGGTTTACGGTTTACGGTTTACGGTTTACGGTTTACGGTTTACGGTTTACGGTTTACGGTTTACGGTTTACGGTTTACGTTTACGAATGAGGTTTGAGGTTTGAGGGTTGAGGGTTGAGGCTTGAGGAAGTGGTGGTCAGGTGGCGGTGGCGAGGCAACGTAGGTGAAGTGAAGACAAGCCTGGTTTGCTTGTTGCAGTTCTTGGCAAGAGCCAGAGGTGGCTTCAATCGACTAGTAGAGGCCAGGGGGCTGAGGGTTTAGGGTTTAGGGTTTAGGGTTTAGGGTTTAGGGTTTAGGGTTTAGGGTTTAGGGTTTAGGGTTTAGGGTTTAGGGTTTAGGGTTTAGGGTTTAGGGTTTAGGGTTTAGGGTTTAGGGTTTAGGGTTTAGGGTTGAGGTTTTAGGGTTTAGGGTTTAGGGTTTAGGGTTTAGGGTTTAGGGTTTAGGGTTTAGGGTTTAGGGTTTAGGGTTTAGGGTTTAGGGTTTAGGGTTTAGGGTTTAGGGTTTAGGTAACGGCAGCCCGTGCTTCTCGATCAGCTCCTCCAGACTTTGAACCTTGTAAAAGGACAGATATTGCGGGGACCACGCTTCATACATCTCCTCCACCAGCTTTGTGGCAAACACAGCAAAGGGAGGGGTGGCCTTGTCAAAGCGATAGAAAGTGCAGGCTGCTGCCTTGAAGAAGGATCTCACCGTGTCGGCATCCAGCTCTCGATAGTCCTTGTGACCCCGTTCACCCTAACACCCTGGACCCTAACCCTAAACCCTAAAACCCTAAAACCCTAAACCCTAAACCAGGGTGAGGCCCTCAGGATCCTGGAGAGCCATCGAGTACGGTCTGGTGACGCCCTCAGAGGCGTTTGGGACTGGCGACGCAGTTCCAGGCTCTCGCTTTGGCGACTTCAGGGTTTAGGGTTTAGGGTTTAGGGTTTAGGGTTTAGGGTTTAGGGTTTAGGGTTTAGGGTTTAGGGTTTAGGGTTTAGGGTTTAGGGTTTAGGGTTTAGGGTTTAGGGTTTAGGGTTTAGGGTTTAGGGTTCGGGTCCAGGGTGTTAGGGTGAACGGGTTGAGGGTTTTGGGACCCTCGACCCGGAGGTTGTAGCCTCATACCATCATCGCCAGCACCCTCCATACCAAGTCCCACCCCCGCAAACCCTAAACCCGAGTCCCTAAACAGCTCCGGAGCTCATACCAGGATTTAGGGGTTTAGGTTTAGGGGTTTAGGGGTTTAGGGGTTTAGGGGTTTAGGGGTTTAGGGGTTTAGGGGTTTAGGGGTTTAGGGGATTAGGGGTTTAGGGGTTTAGGGGTTTAGGGGTTTAGGGGTTAGGGGTTTTTAGGGGTTTAGGGGTTTAGGGGTTTTTGGGGGTTTAGGGGTTTAGGGGTTTAGGGGTTTAGGGGTTTAGGGTTACGCCTGGCAACTTCATAAAGCACCAGCGCTTGCTCGGATGGAACATAGACACCGCCAAGAAGAAGGAGGAAGTACCTTGCAGGGTTTCGGGACTAGGGTTTAGGGTTTAGGTTTAGGGTTTAGGGTTTAGGCTTTAGGGTTTCGGGACTAGGGTCTAGCACAAGATCCTTGGAAAACCCCAAAGCCCTAAACCTTCTGGAATACTCTAGGTCGCTAAGACCCCCTATGGCACGAGAAAAAGTGGGCGTCTTACGAAATAGGGGGTCTCTTTCGTGCACCCCCAAAAATCGTAGACCCTGACAAGGCCCTGCTGTCGGAGGGTTTAGGGCTTAGGGTTTAGGGTTTAGGGTTTACGGATTAGGGTTTAGGGTTTAGGGTTAAGCGCTTTCCTGGCCATTTAAAAACAGCGCTTGCTCTGAAGGCTTGGAATGCTTTCTGCTGGCTTGCACCATCCAAACGCCAAAGCCCTCAAAGCCGCATGGACCGAAAGCCCTGTAACTCATAAATCCCTAAAACCCTACAAGAACCCCGGGTTTTGGGTTTAGGGTTTAGGGTTTAGGGTTTAGGGTTTAAGGTTCAGGGTTTAGGGTTTAGGGTTTAGGGTTTAGGGTTTAGGATTTAGGGTTTAGGGTTGTTTAGGGTTTAGCCCTAAAAACCCTCCAAGAACCCCTGAAGACCAAAAGCCCCAAACCCTACACCCTGAGCATAGTCTCCCTCAGACCTTGTCCACCACAGGGTTCAAGATTTAGGGTTAAGGCTTTAGAGCTTTAGGGCGAGGGTTTTGAGGCCATGTGTGTTTTGGGGCCATGGGTTTCTTGGGGGCCATAAAGTCCGAAAATCCAGACCAACTCCCGCGTGGTGCCGAGATGAAGACAGATGGTTTAGGGTTGAGAGGCTTTGGGTTTAAGCTTCCGGTGCTTCATGCAGAACCACACGCCGCTGCAATCGATGATTTGATAGGCGAGTTAACTGCAACTGAAGTTGGCACATGGTGCGGCTCACTACATCCGCAGTAGCATCTCCCCGAAGATTTCCGATGTATGAGCGCTCAAGGCTAAAAGCAACGAGGAGTTTTGGACCTCATGTGTTCAACTTTCAGGGTTTCCCCTTTCCCGGGACAACTTGAGGAGGGAAGGCTTCTACAAAAGAGTTCTACAAGGCCTTCTCATACGGACCGTATGAGGTCTGATCTTTGGTAGCTCAAGGTTTAAGGGTTTCGGGCTTCACGCCTGTCATGGCAATGTGGAGGAGGGCCGTAAAGGATCGCACTTGAGCACGGAGAATGCTCCGGGACTTGTAGACCGTGTCTGCAAACTCGGCAGGCAGCAAAGCTTGGGTCAGGGCGTCAGGGCAAAGAGCCACGATGCTTCCAGGTAGTTGTACATTAGGTTCTTCCGTCTGGCAACCAAGAGTATACCCCAACTAGAATGAAGCCTAAACCCTAAACCCTAAACCCTAAACGTAGGTTCTTGAAACTTTGTGCATGCTTCAGCATGGAAGGAGGCCCGTGATCCCTGATAAAAAAAACCATGCTATTCCTTGGGTTTCACTATGCTTTGTCTTAACTTGGGATGCTCCCCCTTTATACGAACAGTCCTTAATAGGGACTGTATTACCCCCCCCATTTATAATCCTTACTAAGTACTGGAAGTATAGGGGGGGACATCCCAAGGTCTAATCTACAAGCAAAACGCAAGTCCTTAGTGGTCTAGAGTTCAGGGTTTAGACCCCGCAGGGTCTACTTGGAGATTCGTGGTACTTATTAACCAAGAATAGCTGTACTTATAAGTGTACTTATGCCCATATTAGGGCACTTAGGGGCTTTGAAGTGGGTTATAAGTGCATGAATCTCCAAGTAGGGGCGAGGGTTCAGGGGGCTTGAGGATTCCGTTCCAGGTCATGTCGAGGGCGGCGTCAGGGAGCCGCACGCTTGCAAAGCAACAGGAGACGGCCCTAAACCCTAAGCCCTGAACCGTAAACCCTAAACCCTAAACCATAAGCACGTGAAGGCTTGAGCGCGTACAGGAGGCCCCGATCGTCCCTACTTAGTACGTCCACCCGTCCTCCAAGTAGAGGCTCGAAACAAAAGGATCTGAAGTAGGGGTTTTATGCCTAAACCCTAACTCCTGAACCCCAAACTTCTTTGTTTAAGGGGAAAGGGGGGGGGGGGGGCAGGTCTGGGTCTTTGAGTCAGGGAACTTCAGGGCTTGGACTGCGGCAACTTGTGGATTAATTGCTTGGGGTTTAGGGTTTAGGGTAAAGGGTTTACGGGTTTAGGGTTTAGGGTCAAGAGTAGAGGGTTTAGGGCTTAGGGATTAGGGACGATGGAAACCTAATGTTCCTGGGAATTGGACTGGCTGAGGTAAGTGTTTAACTAGGCTTTGTTGTCATTGGCGCATGAGCAGCAGCAAATTCTATGGAACAAGTTAGCTGACAAACCAAGTATGTCAAGACGCCCAGCACCACCCTTCAAACCCCGAAATCCTAAACCCGATGAAGGCCCTCTAAAAACCCTCCCTCAAACCCTAACCCCGGCAAACCCGATAATAGTCCCTCTGAACCCTCTCAACCCTCGCTCGAAACCTCCAACCCCAAACGCGAAACACTATGAACCCAATAGACCCTAAACCCTCCCAACCCTCCAAACCCTCTAAGTTCCTGTCCAGGCACCTTCTTGATATAGTCCAAGTTCTCCATCGTCCCGAATCCTGAGCACTCATTACTGGGTCAAGAGAACCCTAAACCCTAAACCCTAAACCCCAAACCTTAAACCCTAAACCCCAAACCCTAAACCCTAAACCCCAAACGCACTTTTTGAAACCCCAAACGCACTTTTTTGAACTCCGTGCTCGCAAGCCTGCACCCTGAACCCCTTTGGGCAACCCTCTAGGGTTTAGGGTTTAGGGTTTAGGGTTTGGGGTTTAGGGTTTAGGGTTTAGGGTTTAGGGTTTGGGGTTTAGGGTTCAGGGTTTAGGGTTTAAGGTTTACAGTAGGGGGCTTAGGGGACAAACCGCTAGTTCATGGGGCATCGGGACCTCAAACGCCGAACGAGAAACTCAACCTCAGGTTTAGGGTTGCAGGGTTTAGGGGTTTCGGGCTTGGGTTTAGGGTTTAAGGGTTTTAGGGTTTAAGGGTTTAAGGGTTTTAGGGGTTTAGGGGTTTAGGGGTTTAGGGTTTTAGGGTTTTGGGGTTTTAGGGTTTTAGGGTTTTAGGGTTTTAGGGTTTTGGGGTTTTGGGGTTTTAGGGTTTTAGGGTTTTAGGGTTTTAGGGTTTTAGGGTTTTAGGGTTTTAGGGCTTTAGGGTTTTAGGGTTTTAGGGTTCTAGGGTTCTAGGGTTTTAGGGTTTTAGGGTTTGGGTTTAGGGTTTGGGGTTTAGGGTTTCGCGCTTGGGTTTAGGGTTCCAGGGCCAAACTCCAAGTGGCTTGGGCCACAAGCCCAAACTCTAACAGGCCCAAGTCAGCTGCGGGTATAGGGTTTAGGGCCCAGGGTTTCGAGTTCAGGGTTTGGGGGTCGAAGGTGGCGCAATGTGAATGCCGAAGGACTCAGTTGTTGTATGGCCTCCTCCTTTTTGCTTCAGCCGGCTTGCTTTTACGAAGCAGCGGCCCCCTCTAGAATTCAACGAAGGTCCACTGGCTGAATGCAGGTCCGAAAAACACACAACCCGCGACCCGAAACCCTAAACCCTAAACCACAAAACCCTAAACTCTAAACCTTCATACCCTAAACCCTCATACCCTATCAACCCTGAATCCTAAACCATATCCTTATATATATATATATATATATATATATATATATATATATATATATATATATATGTCTGTGTGTGTGAGAATGGAGAATGTATGTGTAAAAATAACGGTAGATATGTAAAATATACATATGTGTACATACATACATAGACAATGGCCCAATAGTTATATCAACCCCGGACTCGTGTATTTATCCAGCCATCACGACAGGTCGCCAGCGCCCACAGCCATCCCGCTTAGGACAACCACCACCGGTGTGGCAGCCAGCTTCCTTGGATCAGCGTAGGGTTTAGGGTATAGGGTGTTTAGGGTTTAGGGTTTAGGGTTTAGGGTTTAAGGATTGAGGGTTTAGGGTTTAGGGTTTCGGGTTTCAGGTTTAGGGCCTAGGGTTTAGGGCCTAGGTTTTGCTCGCCCAGCTTCTTGGGGGAAACTCGAGGATGACCTATGCGGGGGCAAAAAAAGGCGACTTGCCTCCACCACTTTGTTTACCAAGCGTTTGGGATGGTCAGGGTTTGCCGGGTCGACCAAACTATGTCAGAACTTAGCTTTTTATAGGGTATGTGGGTGCTGCAACGCTTGCAGCAAGTGGCAGCCGCCCTAAACCGTGGGAGTCTCCAAGTCTTAAGGATCAAAAGCCTCAGGTGATCCATGGTCCTGGAAGCTACAAGGCCGTATGGGCGGCCATGCGTTTGAGAGCAGATGGGGTTTGGGAGCCTTGGGTTTGGACTCTAAACTTCCTAGGGTTTAGGGCAGAGGGCTTGAGGGGATTTAGGTTCAAGGATTTGGGGTTTTGGGGTTTGGGGTGTCAGGGTTTAGGGGCTAAGGTGTCAGGCACAGAGGAGTAAGTTCAGGCCTGCTACAGACAGCGTCTTTGAGCATGTTCATCTGAAGCCGTCGCTAGCCGCAAAAAGTGTCTAGAAGTGCTCCCTTTCTTGAGGTCTAGGGCATAGGGCAGCCTCTCTGAACCCCATCCATAGCCGTCGCAAGAACCCGAAACCCTAAAGCCCAATCCTCAGCCTTCTCTAAATACAGGGTACCCCCCCCCCCCCCCCCAAATATGCCCCGACCACGCTCCTAAGCCTCACTCTAGGATGATAGAAAGCCCCCTAACCCTAAACCCTAAACTAAACCATAAACCCTAAACCCTAAACTCTAAACCCTAAACCCTAAACCCCCCTCGGAAACCCCTCCACGTTGATCTGAGGATCAGGAACCATCCGCAGCAAGGCATGCCTGATTTGTTGCACATGATGCACACTGGGGCGGCGGTTTGGGGTTTAGGGTTTAGGGCTTAGGGTTTAGGGTGTAGGGTTTAGGGTTTAGGGTTCAGGGTTCAGGGTTCAGGGTTTGGGGTTTGGGGTTTGGGGTTTGGGGTTTAGGTTGAGGGTTTAGAGTTTAGGCGCAGGGTTGAAGAGTTGAAGGGTTTTAGGTTTGAGGGCACCTTGACAGAAGTCTCTCGTGCACACGTTGGCCCAATGTCGTTCTGCTGAACCGCCCTCCATCCACATCCCTAGACCCTAAACCCTAAACCCTAAACCCTAAACCCTAAACCCTAAACCGTTGGTCCGAGCCCCATCCTCCACAGCCTCTGCAAGCCTCTATGTTCAGACTGCTGCGCTGGAGCGAGCCAAAATGGAAGCTAAGCCCCTAGGGCTTTTAGGGTTGAGGGCTTCATAGAGGTGTTCAGGGTTTAGGGTTACGGTCTAGTAGTGTTTAGAAGAGAAGGGGGTTTAAAGTGTTCAGGGCTTCGCTGCGTAGAAGCCTAAGATCCTAAACCCTGAACACCTCCAAGGCCTCCAACGGCCCCCCAAAAACCTAGAACCCTAAGCCCCTGAACACCTCTGGGAAGCCCCAAACCCTAAACCCTAAACCCTAAACCCCAAACCCTAAACCCCAAACCCTAAACCCCAAACCCTAAACCCTAAACCTCAAGGCGCCTGAGTAGCCCGACATGCGCGGGCAGCGAGTCAGCGCTCGCGACTTGACCGCCTCCTGGGAGGCTTCGAGTTCCGGGTTTTAGCCCTAAACCCTAAACCCTAAACCCTAAACCCTAAACCCTAAACCCTAAACCCTAAACCCTAAACCCTAAACCTCAACCCAAGGGGCAAGGCTCCAAAGCCTTCAAAGCCCTTGAGGGTTTAGGGCTTTAGGGCTTCAAGGTTTCAACAACCCACAAAAAACCCTAACCTCCCCGCAAAAAAAGAATTAAATAATAAATAACAATCATTATTATTACTATTACTATTACTATTATTATTATTATTATCATCATTACTATTATATAGAGAAATATGAGTACAAATGTCCATCCTAACCAAAAAACCTGGGGAGTTAAGGGATTAAAAGGTTAAGCTTCAGGAGCTGGTCGGTGGGTGGGGGGGGGGGATCGGGTTTAGGGTTTAGGGTCTAGGGAAACGAAGGTTGAAAATGATATAATATCAGAAGCTACTCCCGTAAACCCAAGGACCTAAGCCCCCGCAACATCAGGCCTTCTCTGCGCAGCTGTACTTACCAGGACTTATCCTCCTAACCCTAAACCCTAAACCCTAAACCCTAAACCCTGAACCCTAAACCCTAAACCCTAAACCCTAAACCCTAAACCTAAACCCTAGAACCCTAAACCCTAAACCCTAGAACCCTAAACCCTAAACCTTAGAACCCTGGAACCCTAAGCCCTTCCCATGGTCGCGGTTGTTAGCTTCACGTTGAGATCCTGTGTGCAGACGGGCTCACAATGGCAAGACTTAAAGTCGGCCAGCTGACTCTTGGCCTCTTCCATGCCTTTATGTAAGGGTGTAAGGGCATGAGGGTTTAGGGCTTAGGGTTTAGGCTTTAGGGTTTCGGGTTTAGGGTGCAGGGTTTAAGGTTTAGGTGCCCCGAACGCCAAAGATTTCAAATTCCCTGACCCCCTACACGCCGGGATGGCCTCCACGGACGTGACAAGCCGAGTCAGCACCACAAACTTCAGGGACTCCTCCACGATGCCTGGAGTTCGAGGAGCTGTCTTAGGGGTACCTTACTTTTTAAGGTAGAAGGGAATCCTACTATTTGGGGATATTATGGGGGGGGCCTCCTCATATAGAATTGAGAGCTTGGGTTCAGGGTTTATGGTTTTGGTAGTATATGGTGGATGTTGGGGAATAATACTCTTCCTGAAACCAGGCTTTCTCTTCGCGCGAAACGCGCCGAGCACAAAAGTCCTTGGGTATGTGCCTCAGTGCTGAGTCTAGAACCTTGCTTGAACCCTAAACCCTAAACCCTCAACCCTAAACCCTAAACCCTAAACGATACAACTCAGACCTAAGCCACACCTTAGCCATCAGAAGTGAGCTTCGTGTGTTGTTTACCCACCCTAAACCCTTAACCCTAAACCCTAAACCCTAAACCCTAAACCCTAAACCCAATACATTCTTAGTGTTTGGGGTATGGCGCGTGGGTTTAGGGTCTTCAGCGTGTAGAAATCTGCGGGGCTCAGTGGTAAGTCCAGGGTGTGCCCGAAATTTTCCGAAGCTTCCACTCTGTCTACACGGGCGCCGCAGAGCTGAATGCGTATACGCTTCGCACATCCCGGCTGTCATTCCCCTAAACCCTAAACCCTAAACCCTAAACCCTAAACCCTAAACCCTAAACCCTAAACCCTAAACCCTAAACCCTAAACCCCAAACCCCAAACCCCAAACCCCAAACCCCAAACCCTATTCGTTCGAGCCTAAACCTACAACATGCCTAGGGTCATTGGCCCGCATACCCGTCTCGAAGGAGTTCAAGGCCTAAACCTTAAACCCTAAACCTTAAACACTCAACCCTCAACCCGAAACCCTAAACACTCAACCCTCAACCCTCAACCCTCGACCCTAAACCCGACCCCCCCCCCCCCCCCACAAGGCATACTTATGGCCTGGCGTCAAGATCCACTGCACCGAGGCTTTGATGATGCAGCTGCTGCTGGGGCTCTCAAAAGGCCACTTTGGGCCTGGAAGGGCGCTGGGGCTTGAGGAGGTTTAGGGTCTAGGGTTTAGGGTTTAGGGTTTGGGGTTTAGGGTTTAGGGTCTAGGGTCTAGGGTTTAGGGTTTAGGGTTGAGGGTTAAGGGTTAGGGGTTAGGGGTTTAGGGCCTGATGCCTGTGTTGTTTGCTTGCTTGCTTGCTTGTTGCTTGTTTGTGCCCGTTTCTTTTTTGCGGTTCAAGAGCACTAATAGGGTTTTTAGGAGGTAGCTAAGGCCTGATTTTGTACAGTAGGGTTTAGGGTTTGCTTCCCAGCCTCTGGGGCAAGAATGTGCTGAACAGCTTCGTGCCACTGCGACTTCGCAAGAAGGGTACGCAGGAACGGGGGGGTGGCATTGACAGGATCCGTAGAAGCCCTGATTCTCATCAAAGACTCTCATGATTCTCATGGTTCCCTCCCCCTTGTGCCCCCCCTCAAGGATAAGTTTGCTTCCAACACCCGGAAGAAAAATCTTCCTCCCATGTGACTCACCCAAAGCCACCCAGCTTCCCCAAACCCTAAACCCAAAACCCTCAACCCTGTTGATCTTCAACCCCCGACACCCCCCGAAAGCCACAGCCCAAGAGCCTATGGGCAGCTCAGCGTGGCAGTCTGGATCGAGAAATTTCCACAGGCTGAGAAGGCTTGTGTTGAAAAGGCCTGGCAGACCGGCGGTTTAGGGTTTAGGGTTTAGGGTTCCTAGGTGTAACCCGGTTTCGTCTATGCTGGAGCAACTAGCGGCTCTCGTGCTGCCCAGGGCGCAGCTCGTAGAGGGTTCCCTGCTTGGCTGCTTGGGGATTTGGGATGGTCACTTCGTTTGGGCGCTAGGAGGCCAGGGTTTCTTGGGATCCTACTGGTATGGGAAGGCACCCCTTCTCAAGACAAAGGCTATGAATCTGGAGGGTCTGCGGGGTGCTTTCTAGATGCAGCCTGAAGCCCTTCAATTTTTAGGGTCAGGCTGAGGGCCTTAGGGAAGACGAAAACTTAACGACGGGTCACATTGAAACTCGGCAACGCGATGGTCTGTCAGGCCTTCGGCAGCTTCAAGTCGAGATGAGTCGTAATTTGAACATAAAGAACGAACACACGAACAGCGGAGGACCCTGTCAACTTCCATTCCCAGGAAGCTTTAAAAGGCGTATAAATAGGGGCCCTTGATCCCGAGCAGTGTCATGTAAAGCTCTTACCCCCAAGGAATTCAAGGCAGCAGATCGTCGCCTGCAAATGACGCCGAGAAAAGAGCGCCGCACCAGAAAAAGCTCATCACGTGGCCAGCCTACAAGGCAGGATGTCCGGGTCGATTTATTTGTATCGTCTGAAGGTGTGTCATAGGGCCTTTAGGACTTGGGGAGGGGAGGGGGGGGAGCGATAGAGAGGAAGAAGCTGTTGTCACATAGTCCGGAACAATCCAACCAGCGGGAGGGGTAGGGGGGCCTGTCGAGAAAACGCATGCTGTCCGAATCCAAGCAGCGGAACACGGAAGATGACATCAGGGTGGAAATATCTGTTCCCTAGTTTAAGCCGTAGCCAGGGCCCAGGGTACCTGCTACGACAGGTAGGGTTGAAATGTAGCACATCCCCACTCGGTAGACTATACTTAAGACTGATCCTTGCAGCGGAGCACGACAAGTTGAACCGTCCCCAACTCGTCTACCTCACCTGAAAAGCCTTGTCAACCTAATAAAGGGTTTAGGGTTTCGGGTTTAGAGGTTAGTTTTCTTTGCTTGCCTGCTTGGGTATCTTGGGCAGTTTATAACAAAACCACCTAGGGGCTCTAACTGGGTACTGTTGGTCATAAATCCAACGCCCGAAATCCTACACCCTAAAGCCCAAACCCCAAACCCTAAACCCTAAACCCTAAACCCTAAACCCTAGAGCCCTAAACCCTCCACCCCAAAACCCTAAACCAGGAACCCTGAAGCCTAAGCTTGAAACAAGAAGCCCAAAACCCTAAGACCCACTTGGCTGCACTCAGGAGGGTAGCTAACAACTCAACTTTTAGCTGCCTTTATTAAGAAACCCAATTAACCCAAAAAGGGTAAGGATCTAAAGTTACAGTAAAGTACCACAAAACCCTGAGCTCCTGTGCTTACTGGGCCTTCACCGGCTCCGTGGACACTCTGTTCGCGACCAGCCTAATCTCAGCAAGTCAGGAAGATGAGGGTTTGGGGTTTAGGGTTTAGGGTTTAGGGTTTAGGGTTTAGGGTTTAGGGTTTGGGGTTTGGGGTTTGGGGTTTGGGGTTAGGGGTTTGGGGTTGACACGGACTTGAAGTCAATGCGATCAATATAAGTGAGACGGCTGATGCTTTAATCAGCATGTGTGGCATATCATGCTTCCAGTTTGGTGATGATGTCATTTAATTTTGCACACTGTTCTTGTAGGACTCCCAACCAAGCGTTTGTCTCTCGCTGAGACAGCTTTGAGGGTTTATGGCATTTTCGAAGGAATTTTTCGGATTTAGTCAGGAAATTAAACCGAGCATGGCAAAAGTGGCACGCTATGCCCTGGCGCTTCCACTCAGGACAAGCAACGTGAGGAACTTTGGTGATATCAAGATCAATATAATGATTAGCGTCAAGAATGTTCTGTCGCATCTGGAGCAGTTGATTGCGCATGGCAACAAATCTGGCTTTAGCATGAAATTGCGGCAGTAAGACAGCACGAATGTGCTCTGCAGACATGTCATGCCAAGCCTCCAGCGGCTTGGCAGTGACACACCGCACAGTCAGCATATTACTTCTTTCCAATGCCATGAGCTCCCAGGGCAACAGGCCACGTTTCTGCACGATTCGACTCAGCCAAGTTCGGTCAAGATCGCCTGTCTTTAGAGACATTTGGGGAGGTCCAATGACCTGTGAAAGTTCTGCAAAACTGAAAAGATGGTCTCTGAATGTCAAATTTTGCTCTGCAGCATGTGCAGTCTGGATACGGGCAAGTGCCTCACAGATTCGACGCAAATCTCTTGACTGTGGGAGCCCAAGAGCGCGCGGAAAACGCCTAGCTGGCGGCAATTTCCTAAACCAAGTAATTTCAGTGTTATCATTCCAGGTATCTTGTGCGATGACACCGGCGTGATCCCACGAATCCTGAAGAAGTTTAACCGCAAGGGAACGGAACTTCCAAAGAGCTTTTCCTACTGTTGGACAAGTGGAAAGAAAGTTGGCAGCCTCACCCCCTGTTGCAGAAATACTAGGAAAACTTCCATCCAAGTGGAGAATTCAGCTTTTCCGACGAAAGGAGCGACGCTCCATTGCACCCAGAAAGAGAAAAGAACATGAAAATCAGTATCATTTCCACCCCAAGTATTGAAAGCAGAATTACTACTGGGCTTATTCCATTGTAGCGGTAAGCGGTCCTGCGGAGAAATGTGGACTTGTTCCTGTTGGAGACAGCACAAGCCAACTGCGGCAGGGGGCTTCTTTGCGCAGTCAATTTGGTGTGAAATCATCGTAACAGCTTGAATTTCATCAGGATTCCGCTGAAACGACATCCAAGTTTCAAGCAAATAAGATATATGCATCTGGACAGTGCTCCAATTGTTTAAGACATGAGGCGGCAAAGTTTTGGTAGCAATGAGGCAGCGTTGTGCACACGAAGGCCAGTCAGCAAAGTGAAACATGTATTCCGGCCAATCCTCTCGCAGAAAGCAAAATCGAGGACAGTGGAACATGATATGGTGGACATCAGCATCCTCGCAGGCACAGTATGGACACGCAGGTGTGGAGAGCACCCCCTGCTTAAACAAATGATGCGGCACAGCGCGCGCGTTGCTAAGTACTCTCATCAACGCGGTTCTTCCTGGCTGGGTGGGGTCCATTTTCCTAACTAAGGCAGTGGTACGCTTCAGATCAGCCTGCGCAACTCCATCCCAGCGGGAGTGCTTGCTTTCTAGTTGCCGCAGCAAAACATGCCGGATCATTTCCCTCACCTGATGTTGAAAAACGTATTTGTCCGGCTCAGAAAATGTCGCTTGCATTCCAGTTTGAGTTTGCTTCAGCACGCCAGTGGCTGGATCAAACTCACACCCTAGCCACCCAAAATCTTCAACAAGTAACGTTAGAGGCCCTTTACCAAAAATTTTGCGACGCGAAACCGTATTAAACTCTTCATTAAGAAACGAAGCAACTTCAGGTGTCTGATAAGCGCGGCGCCAATTGCACAGGCTACGATACACAAAAGCAGCGCCAGGGTCAAAAAGATGAGGCTTCTGCAGAAAAACCGCCTGAGCCAGCTGTGTAGCGCAATGTCTTCCAGCACATGCCCGATAGATAGCGCCACGAAGCTGTGCAAACTGTCGCTTTGTGGGCCTCACAACCATCCAGTGTTTTGGAGTAGGGAGTGTGCAACCAGTTTCTGGCACAGAACCCTCCTTCAAAATCCAAGGCAGCAACCCCAGTGGAACTATCCCCTAGCAAATGCAGAAAGGAGATGAGCGCAAGATAGAAAAGAGGCAAAGTACAAGAGAGCAGAGCATTCCATTTGGTTGGAGTTCTGTCGCCGCGTGAGGGTTTGGGGTTGCCTCGCCTCGCCGTGTCATGTTTCCGAGTCTTCTGTGTTTCAATTTCAATGCCGTCAGAGATGTTGCGCAACGGCGGCCCTTGGACACAATCTTTCCAGCGCTGCAGGCACTGTTGCTGCACGCGTGTGTATTTCCAGTATCCGGTTCTCCTAGTTTTGAAGGTGAACGAATGACACAACATCTCACGAAATCCGTCACGCTCAAAGGCTCCAATGCCTATTGGCGCACTTGCATCTGCCTGTCTTACAAACCTCACTCCATCGTGAGGTGAAATGGCTTCGAAACGCTGGCTGCTCAGAGCAAGGAAGATTGGCCTCGAACCCTTACTTCCAGACGGGCCAAAGAACACTCCAACACCACCAGCGTGGCAAACATAGATATCAGTACACAACAGATTCGCAAGCAGTTGGAGCGCAGTTGAGTTGCCCCAGGCGTTGCGCTTCCTCAATTGTTTAACCTCAGCAATACCTATGTCATCGCACCTAGAAATGTTTCGATCGCTCAAGGTGCGGCGCTTGAGTGAGTACCACTTAACCCCCAGCTGCATAGATACAGCACGCCACATGCAGTTGCCATCGCCTCTTACTTGTCTCGCCAAGAGTTCTCCTTGGAAACTTGCGCGAAAGAAGCTCGCAACTTTCCTGTTTTGCTGGTGGCCAAATTGACTGTACTTAGCCCGGCTCTTATCATGATCTACTTCTGCGTCCCACTGATCCCATGGGTTCCTCCAGTGGACCCATGTACGTGTTGAGCACATATGTGTTTCAGGAGAAAGACAAACCACCCAGCAGCTGGCAACTGCTAGTAACTGCCGCGCACGCCGTCCGTTGAAGAACGCTGTTTGCCTGTACCAAGAACAGTCTGGGCACTGAACGCACACGCGACGGCGGATACAGTCGCTATACCCAAAGCGGGCATACTCAAGAACAAGCTCAAGAACAGCGCCAAATATCAGGCACAGAATTGTGCCCATGTGCACGTGCAAGCAAACCTCACAATGCGAGATTGTGGTATGGATGAGCTCCGTCATCCCAGAGATGTAGTGAAGAATTAAGCGGCCATTGGCAATGCCCTCAACAGTCTCGCCTGAAACGTGGCTAAGTACCACAGAAAAGGCAGGATTGGTCTGCGGAGGGCAGAAGTGAATTACTTGCATAGTATGCACAACCATCAGTCCAAGCACAATTGCCAGGCACCAAGGGAGCGAGTGTTCGTAGTCACATGCCATTGCCCTAACTACCAAGAGCAGAAAGGGGGGTTCGACACGGACTAACGGCCCAATCCGCAGGAAGGACCTCAACTCCTCTCTTGAGCCGTCCCTCGCGCAGCCTTGGGACGTCTGACTTTTTCAAGCCGTCCACTAGCAATCCGGTCTCCAAAACCGCGTCCAGCGAGCTGTGAAGCGAGAGGTGCAGGTCTGACGCCCGTTGCTTCAAATTGACCATTACTCCTCCGCACAACTTCAGAGCTTGATCCTTGGGATCTGCATGCTGCCCCTGACCAGCGATCTCTGCCACCAATCTGCGGTTTGGGAGACCGGCGCTCTCTCTCCAAACGAGTTTGTGATGCTGCGCATGCGCATCCAGGCTTCGGAGACCTCTGGGTCTGCATCAGCCACTAGGGCCTCGTTCAAAAAGAACGCAAGGCCTGGTTGAAGCATCTTTAAGGCACGATGCGTGTCGCGGTTCGGGACGCTTTCCTGCAGGTAAAGGATCGAGTGCAGAAGGACGCCATTTGAAATGGACATGATGAGCTGGCGGTCAGTGACCTGCGACTCCCCCAGTATGACAAGCTGGCTCGCGGTCTCTGGCTTGTGTGTTGTTCAGGAAGGTTTGCTGAAGCCAGTTTTCCGAGAAGTTCAGATGGAGCATGAGGTTTTTCTGACTCGCCTCCTTGCTGCGAACTGTGATCGGGACGGTGATGTCACGTTTGTGGACGATCGCATCCTTGATCTTGGCTGCCACATCTCCTCTCTTCAGTCCGATCGCTGCTTGCATAACTCCTAGCTGAACGGGGTTTGGGGTTTGGGGTTTGGGGTTGGGGGTTGGGGGTTGGGGTTTGGGGTTTGGGGTTTAGGGTTTAGGGTTTGAAACAATGATCGCTGCAGAAGCTTTTCATCAAAAAACAGCCACGGGGATTTTTGGGGCTTGGGCTGTAGGGCCTAGGGGGGCTGAAGCTGTAGAGGTTGAGCTCCCACCCTATCCCCTAAAAATCCCAAACTTGAAGCCCTGACAGGTTAGGATTTGGGGATTTAGGGCCAAATTCCCCCAAAGTCCTCAACCAACAAGTCCCGATAAACAAACATAATAAAATAATAAGCCAACACATACCAAAAAACAATTTGAACCCAAGACCCCAACACCCGAAAAACCAAAACCCTAAACCTAAACCCTAAACCGCCGAAACCCCAACACCCAAAAGTTCCGAGATCTCAAGCCTCGAGTTCCGGGGATTTGGTCAGGCTTCTGTGGCCGAAAGAACGGGGGATGTCTAGGCTAAGAAATCCTGGACTTAGGGTTTCGGGCTGAGGGTTTAGGGTCTAGGGTCTAGGGTCTAGGGTCTAGGGCTTAGGGTTTAGGATTTAGGATTTAGGGTTCAGGGTTTAGGGTTTGGGGCACCGAAGAGCTCGTAAGGTTAGGGTTTAGGGTTGCGACACATCATGGTTCCTATTGCAAAAGCAGGTGCGGCTTGCATTGGAGGAGAGGGGGGAATCCACAACTCTCTACGAAGACCCAGCCAGATTAGAGGGGGCTTGCACATTGTTGTCTGATATGGAACCTAGGGTCTATAGGGTCTAGGGTTTAGGTTTAGGGTTTAGGGTTTAGGGTCTAGGGTCTAGGGTCTAGGGTCTAGGGTCTAGGGTCTAGGGTCTAGGGTCTAGGGTCTAGGGTCTAGGGTCTAGGGTCTAGGGTCTAGGGGTCTGGGTCGTCTGGGTCTAGGGTCTAGGGTCTAGGGTCTAGGGTCTAGGGTCTAGGGTCTAGGGTCTAGGGTCTAGGGTCTAGGGTCTAGGGTCTAGGGTCTAGGGTCTAGGGTCTAGGGTCTAGGGTCTAGGGTCAGTGACGCGATAGCGAGGGAACCCGACCTCTAATACGAACGGGAATATATAGTCACTTTTTATGGTCTGTGTTGGGCTCCTTCTTTTCCGGCGGCGCTGAGTATTTAGGGTACCCAAAAAGGAACCATAATTTCAGAGAACTGACAATATAAAAGTGATTGGAAGGAAAAAAAAGTGTAGCCTTCGTGACCTTGAACATCCGCACGCCGAAGCCCACAAGGCCCAAACATCAAGAGGGTTTCAGGGTTTAAGGGCTTACTGGGGTCGGTTTGGGAGCCCTAAAAAACATAGTTTTTTCACAGCTTCATAAGGATTATGTAGGGATTAAGGGTTAAAAAAACAATAAATGTTCAAAGCTACCCCTGGTTTTAAGGCTTCAAGGCATTTTCCAGTGAATCTCCTGACCCTAAACCCTAAGCCCTCAACTGCGCTGCACACCCCCCCCCCCCGGGCTTAATGTTCTAAACTACGCCTTGGGATGTTCCCCCTTACACTAGCAGTCCTCAATAGGGATGACCATCGGGGGTTACGATAATCCTTATGGGTGGTTGTCAAAATCCGCCGAGGCCTCGAGAACAGACCCCCCTCCAAATCCCCCTTTTTTGCCTGGAAAGGGTATCTTCCGTGGGCGACCAAAAGCGGACGGTCCGCCCCCCCCCCCCCCCCCCCACTGCCCCCTCCCCCCCCCCCCCCTGCCCCCCCCCCCACCCCCGCCCCCGCCCCCCCACACCCCCGGCTGCCCCTGCCACCCTGCTTTTGCTTGAGAGGGCCTGGCTCAACCAATCCAAGCCGAACCGTCTCAACCCTCAACCTTGAACCTTGAAGCCTAAACCCAAAAACCCTAAACCCCAAACCGTGAACCTTGAGCCCTAACCCCTCAACCCTAAACGAACCCTCAACCTTAAACCCCAAACCATAAACCATAAACCCGGAACCCTAAACCCTAAACCCAACCCTTATTGCTTGGGGTCCAGCGACTTGGGCGCTGCGGAATCACCATGCTCGCGCGGATGCGCTGGGCCGGGCCGAGGGCGGGTCGCGTAGCACTAAAATTATTGTCCCTTTTTGGATACGGCACCGAATATTAAGGGTCATAATTTTGACAGCCACCCTTATTAAGGGAGCATCCCAAGGTATCCCCCCAGGAGACTCCAGTTCAGTCTAAGTTCACCACCACATCGGTAGCAAGACCACCTTGCAGAGTCCGCTTTAGGACTGCAGGGCTTATAGGGTTTAAGGTTTAGGGTGCATAGGGCGCAGGGTTTAGGATTGTAGGGTTCGGGGGACAAGGGGATTTCGGGCTCTTGGAAGGTCGAGCTGCAGGGCTTGGTTTGATAGAGGTTACACAGATACGCAGAGACACACACACACACACACACACACACACACACCGCCAGACACAACGCAGACCCCGGAACTGCAACGAGGGAAGGAGGAGGAAGGGAAGTTCTTTGATTCCCGATGGCCAAGAGAATATGTTGTACTTGGCGTCTAGAGTTTGATTCGTCGGGCTTTGTTGTCCTTGTGCTGCAGATACCTTCCCTCCTCAACCAAGGCTTACAGTTGTAAACCATGGAGGTCTCAAGCATCAGGACTTACTAAACCCTAAACCCTAAACCCTAAACCCTAAACCCTAAACCCTAGACCCTAGACCCTAAACCCCAAACCCCAAACCCTCAAACCCCAAACCCCAAAGGCACCCGGAAAAGACGAGCCAGTGGCTCCCGGGGGCCTTGGGGCTGAGGGCCTAGGATCCTTGATGAGGAATCATCAACCTGTAACCACAAAAAGAAGGTTTAGGGTTTAGGGTTTAGGGTTTAGGGTTTAGGGTTTAGGGTTTAGGGTTCAGGGTTCAGGGTTCAGGGTTCAGGGTTTATGCCAGGGCCGAACCGGCAAACCCCCTGAGGATTGGGCAATGGACGCCCAGGACTTCGTGAGATCCAACTCCAACTGAACGCAAGGATAGGATCTAGGGAATAGGATTAGGGGGACCCTTGGGGATATAGACCCTCTCAAAAAAGTCCCTGTTTAAGAGAGCCAGAAGAAGGTTAAGAAGGGTTCTCGTTTGAGGGTCCCCCTCATCCTACCTAGGAGACAAGGACACGGAGAGGATTGTCCCTTGAACCCTGTGGATTGGGATGTTCATGCCTTGTACTAACAGCTCCTTAATAGGGCTTACAGTCCCCCCCTATTACCCAAAATAGAGGCCCTACCCTGCACTGGTGCAAAAAAGTGCAAACCTGAGCGGAGCTTATCTTCTGAGGTGAAGCGGGTAACGCTGTGGACCTTGCAAACGGCTGAGTTTAGGGTATGCGTTCGCCAGGCGTGGGACAGAAAGCTCTTCCGAACGACTGCTAGTTCTCTTGGTGCGTGCGGCGTGTTACGTTAAGAAACCCAGCGAGTCTCGAACTGGTCCTCATACAGCTTATAAGCCATAGGTCAAGGTACCCAGAGAAAGGCCCTATGGCTAAACCCCTAAACCCTAAACCCTAAACCCTAAACCCTAAACCCTAAA